AAAGTAATGCAACAAATTATAAAAAAAAGAATCTCAACTGGCTGAAGTCCATAATTCGATATCACAATTGCATTTTAAACATCCTCAAATTTCTCTAATAAAATTCCCAAGCAAAAACCCACTGGTAGCTAATTTAATGATTTTTGAAAATGTATGAAAATTAATTGAAAATATCAAAACTCGTCAGACGACTCGTCATTAACTGAACAAACTCTTGCTAAAAATATATGGACGCATAAATGTATATGAACATATGTATATACATATGTACTTCTGTCACAAGCCGAGTTACATATAAATATACACATACGTAGTACTCTTGGTGTATGCATGTACACACTTATGCAATACTATTTCATGGCTTCTTAGTTTTTTCTTCAAAAACCCAACCAAAGATACAAAAACGCGTGTGAGTCACTTGGTTTTAGAAAAAATACAGATGCCGAGCCAGAATGGCTGAGCTAAAGCCACCAGCATAGCTGCGACGAGGGACACGAAATTGGAGATAGTCAAGAACTTTTTGCACTCAAATTTGCGCCTTGTATTACTGACTGGAATGTGAAGGAAAGATTGGGATTTGGATCTAAAAATGTTGTAAAGGAGGTGCCAAAAGGTATCACTTTCGTTGTCGTCGCCAGGTTGGACTGTTTCGTCGGTTACATATAATTCCACACCCCCAGCTCATCTCTTCCAAATACCAACCATCGTTATTTGCAGCATCCACTTTGGTCCAACAATCCCAACAATCTATAATAACTACACAAACAAGACTGTCAAGAATTCAGGGTCCACCTTTCTTTTAAAAACAAGACTTTGACTGCAACCATTCCGATCCAAGTATGGATAAACCCATTCGCATAAAGCCGTCGTGTTCTCCGCTAGATTGGAATTATAACGAACTGGTTTTTCAAATCCCTCCTGCCAACTTCCAGCAGCCTTAAGACTGAGTTAACCGTGTGCTAAGGATCTGTTGTTTTCATCTACCTCAAACCAGCCCCAAAAACTCGTAGCAACATGTTCCAACTTCTTGCATTGTAGTCTGTGCTCCTACCAAAATTCTTGAATCACTCACTACAACGTTCACCAGAACGGTACAGAAATTACACCATTTTATTCCAGAATGGTTAAATTAAGAATCTCGGCAAACTAAATCATTCTAACAGACCAAATCCCCAAAATACATCTTATTCTGTTGGCAATAGTTGGCATCATGCACGTACGAGGGGTCCAATTAAACAATCCCCTCGTCAACAATTAGAAGCGCAATGTTTACATCTTAGACAAAGCGTTGTCGGTTTTAGTTGGAAAGAACTTAAGTAAATTGAGGTTGGGACCAATTATGTCCCAAAGAATAGCACTTCAGTCACATTTCTATGCATTGGCAATCCCAGTAAAAGTCCTCCTTTTAATTAATTCACCTCGTCGACGTCGACCATCCAAGTAAAGAAACAACCGGCAAAGTAACTCCAACATATCTACGTTTATAAGATATAGCCTTTCGTACCATTTGTAGCTCGTTGACGAATTATCGATTAAATCTTTCCCTCTCTCTCTTTCTACAGTTAATTTAGTGTTATTTATCAATAACAATTTATTCATGAATTCCACTCTGTGGTTGACTTTCTCTTTTCGCTAGGTCTTATAAGTACGCAGATAGTAACACTTGTATTCTCAAAATTGTGGGATTACTACAACCACGCAATAACCAATGTACGCATGCATTTGGTTTTATGAACCCATGACGATTTCCCATCGTTAAAAAAGAGTAACAATAGAAGACGAAAGTTGCATAATATTCGAAAGCGTAAGAGGGGAACAGAACCCAAGGTCATGCGTATGCATGCACCTCCATGAAATAAAGATGAGCAGGAGGAAGGGAGAAGAAAGAGTGGATACGTGTTTGCATACAGTTGTTGAGGCGTGCACACGATTTACTTTTTGGGTTTCTTTAACTTTTAGTTTTCTCCATTTCGAGCAGAAGGAAGTCATTCGTTTGCACATCGGGCTGGCAGGAGGGCAGCAATTTCAGCATGCCCGCATTATTCCCATTAGGATTTTCAACCTTGCGAGTCGCATGGTGGTGGTGAAAGCTGGAGAGAGTGGAATTGCAGAGGAGAGAGAAAGAGAGAGACGACGAGGAAGGCAACAGGTATCCAATTTCACTGGGAGTGAGCCTCTCTCTCTCCGCCCGGTGGTGGTGGTGGTGGTGTCACTCCTCCTCGGCCACTCTCACTCGCAGTTTCGCTTTCTCTCCTTCCATTCTTCTCGTGCTTTCTTTGCAAACCCGCTTTCTTTTCCTCCCACGACTGCTTTGAAATCAGAAATGATTTGCGTCCTCGCTCTCTCTCTTTCCTTGTCTGGGGGAAGTGCAGTAATGGCTGATTCTTTTCTAGAGATAGTGTTCAAGTGGTAATCTCGGGTGGTTCTAATCTCCAGAACAGTAGTTGTCACCTCCGCTCTCCTCCTTCCTCCCATTGTGAATGCCTGGTTAAGCAAACGCTAATGAAAAATTATGGACTTCTCCTCAGTCTAACAAATGCCCATTTGTTTTACATTAGCTGAAATGTAAAATATGATTTTTATAACTATGCATTTACGTATCTCTGTGCTGCCTTGTTATGAACGAAGTATGTGACTATTTTCCAGTAGTTAAAAAAATTCTTTCGTCAGAAAATTTACTACGAGCAGTGATTATTAGTTATCATAAAATGGCATTATGTCACCATGTGTTGGATCGTACATATACATGTATATTTTTTGTAAACAGTGTCCGTCTTCGCTGAACAAGAAACTGTACGTGGACGTTTGTCCTGGTCACATTCCCAATTTTTGGTGGTGGTGGATCAATATTGGTGCAATGACAATATCAAATAAAGTTCCCTTCCACGGGCAGTTACCACCCTTTATTGCTTATCCTCATATCATCGAGTTGCTTTGCCCTTTTCAGTATTTTTGGTGGAGAAGATGTGCCTTTGGAATTATTAGACCCATTTCGTTTCCTCGACCTGATATTTGACATTTTCATGTGTCTGACTCAGACTGGAGAAGAAAGGCGTACCACTTTATGCCATTCGATCACCACCGTGGGGTTGCTCCGGAGAAAGTGAATGGTGGGTGATGATGAGAATGAGAACTCCTGGCAGACAGCAATCAGGATAGAACAGACTGCTGCAGCCTGTGCACTAATAAGTACGTCGCGTACACCTTACTTGCATCCTCAGCAACAACTTGTATAGACGACGCCAAGTAAAGTTTTCATCATTCTATTATTTTTCGCGTTGTTATTAACTCTGCGTGTGTGCGCTTTCACCTTTCTTTCTCTGCCCAATATTAAAAATGGCGAAGAACGATGGATGGATGGAAGGGATGCATTGATAGACATGGCAAAACCGTTGGGGCTTCGTTGTATGTCTCCAGACGAAGAAAATGCGTCGAAAAATGTAACAAATGTACATAATGAGATTGCATATTTGTAATCCAGATGGAATCTCTGCTTCATAATTATTTTGTTCGTACGCTTTCCATGTTTCTGCTCTGCGTACCTGTGCTTTTCAATGGACATTATACGTACTTGAGGGGGCGGCGGAAAGAGGGAATTTGTCCTCCAGCAAACCCGATGAGATTTTGCTCGGAAGGCGAAACGGGAGCGAGAGAGGAAAATGCTTTTTTCACCGTCGACTTGCTGGACTGGAGAGAAGGAGGAGGACGAACGATCATTTGCAATTAAATAAAGTGGTGGCGGTATGGTGGTGAGGACGAGAAGGCGTAGTCAGGAGATGAATGACTGCTGTTCCTACTCTACATATGAGCAACACTTATTACCGTCAACCTCCTCATCGCCATGCACGTTAACTAGTTGCTATTGCCAGACCAGGTCTCTGGCAATGAGGACGGAATGGACGACCAAAGCACAGAGCTACCTTTTGGCTTGTCGTCCTCCTCCTCGCCGTCAGTCTCTCTATCATTAGATTGAATTCCGCATTACCATCATCCATGACCATCACATCAGTCAGCTTCTGTCGTCGCTGCAGCCAGCCACCCCTTCACTACTGCCACCATCCCGACATTTCGGGGATAACACTACACCACATGAACACGCCATCCCACTCATTTCCTCACATTTGGCAAAGTGGGAGTTACGGAGGGAGAGAGAATGAGAGCAGCAGCCAGCAGCTTTGGTGGAAAGTTCTCAACATCCGTCCATATTATTACTTTAGTGAAACGCGTATTTGTATAGCTTCCACGGGAGAGAAAGTAAAGAGAGAGAGAGAGAGAGAAATAGGAGAGGGAAACCATCCTCCTCCAGCCATGTAGTAGTTGTCCTCCCTTTTTGGTTGAAGGTTGGTGTACCAAAGTCTGGTACAGCCAGGACAAACTCTAATGTCCTGGCTGTCACACAGAATTTCCACGCGTTCGCCTGATGAGCACGAAACTTTATATGTTTAATGATAGTCTCTCCTTCTCCGTGGTTTCCTGGTAGCAGTCGCAGCAGCAGCAGCAGTGAAGGGAGAGAGATTATCGCTACCACGCCATGCCACGTTTCTACTTACTCTCTCGCTCTCTCTCTTCGCTCCCATTCCCATATTTGCCTAGTCCGACTGCTGCGGCTCTCCCGTTGGAGCGAGAGAGAGAGAGGGAGAAAGGTGAATTCTGCTTAGTGCGAGCAGTTGGGAAAGTGGAGCAGGAAAATGAGGAGGAAAAGGGGCTGCTGTTGGAATGCTTTTAGATTTTTCGTGAAACTCTACTCTCGACTCTGCTCCTGCTGCTGCTTTTCCCTGTCACGACTTTGCTCTCTCCTCATTTGTGCACATCACTCCGCTCGTTCCCTTGGCGGTGGTGGTTAGTGGGGATAAAAAAGTGATGGGAGATATGAATTAAGTGAGGAGCGCTTGGCCAACGCGAGTCTTGATGCGAGCAGTGCAGCCTTACTCTTGCTGGCGAAAGTGTGGGAGAAAGCAGGCAAGATAAAATGAGAAAGGATCCGGGTGAGCTCAACTTACCTCATCAACATGCTCATCTTGCGTAGATCCATCTCCGCCGCCGTATGTGCTGCTTTGTTTCCTCTCCTCAGCAAACTCATCATGCGCCAGGTAGCTTGGCAGCAGCGTCCTTCTCGTTGTTGTTGTTGAGAAGGGAAGGCTGCTGAAATTAATATCAAACTCTGACGGTGGACTCTTTTCAGAGTAGGAGGAGATCGGTGGCGTGCTCGCGGGATCCGTGGCAATTGGGCTGAGAGGTGAAAGAGACCTGTCAACTGCAAAAATTTTACTCAGGCTGCCCCCACTACTTCCCGTGCTTGTCGATTCGATCCCAGGGCTCCCTCGCTTCTGACATTCGGTGCACTGGAGTAGAAACTTGGTTACGGCTTCTCGTGGAAGAAATGCGTACTTTTCCGTGATCTGTATTGATTTATATATGTAATGCATTCAAGTAATTTCAATTATAATGGTAAATTCATCAGCATGAGTATGTAAGTCAAATCATTACGTAATACTCACCGCTCTATACGTACGCTTCTGTCCTGCATGCTTCCCATTCTTTGCTTCGGTTTCAACATGAACCATGTAGATGATATCAAAGAAATATTCTACGACAGCGACACGCTTGAAAATTGGCTTGTCCAAACCGGAGCCATCCTGAAATAGAAAATAAGATTAGACATTTTATTACTGATTAACAAACTGCTAAACAAATTGTAATGTATTCCTACACAATTTGCAGGAACAAGAACATCATAAAAAGACTTTGTGAACAAAGAGAAAGTGTGCGGAGATGGAAAGTTCATATCGGGGCGCCACCTAAGCAGCGGACGATCAACCCCTCAGAGGGAGAAAAAGGAAGAGAAAGTCTCGACCATCACGGTGAGAAAATCAAGTGCGTGTGCTTTCCCCTTCCGCCGGCATAGATGGAGATCAGACGATGTCAACAGACTTACGGAGGTCTCCATTGTCACACTTGCAAATGAATTCGCCATAATAATAATCATGCAAGCTTGGCACATACATATTTATGCCACTTTTTGAGTTAATTGTATTCATGGCACATATTTTGTGCGTTTCTTTAAACACAGTTGAATTGGTTTAAGTTCTGGAAAATAATTTATAGAAAAATCTTATATTTACTTTTGCTTAAAATTACTGAATAATTTCAACTTATGATAAGGTTCTTATCATCCTTATAAATATTTCATATAGATGTGTATTTACAGATGTATCTATTTTGCACACTGCTAGCTATATGGCTTTTATTTATATAAATATGCACAAACTCGTAGTGGAAGGAAATAATAATAAAAGGTGATGCATACATCATTTGCCTGCCGAAAGGTTAAAGCTCACAAGGGAGTCAACGAGCAGAGAAATGGCAGGATGATTTTATTCTGATCTGGAAGACTGAGAACGGCAACATCATTGGACAAAGTTTTCCTTTGAAAGAAAGAAACAGAAAGAAAGTGGAGAAAGTGAGAGCAAGTTGAGTCTGCGATTTTATGGAGTGAATGGAGACCCGTTTTCAGATCAAGTGGGGATTCAACAGGTGGAGACTCGCTCTTAGCAAATAACGCATGCAGTCTATATACATATACAAAATATGCGTCCTCCACCAGGACAAACGTACATCATTCATTCCCATGTTTTTTGCATGTCAGCACAATCATATAGCATTCCGCATTTCATCCTCACAGCAATCTTAATATAAATCTTATTCGTTTTTCTTATTAAATGGTCTTCCTGAGTTTGTAAAATTTGTATCTAAAAAAATATAATAATATAATAGATGACTTTAAATGAGTTAATCTATAATTCCTTGATATATGCATTACCCTTGAGATGAACCGCTAATTATAGTAAAAGTATCAACCACTACCATCCACGGATTTTATGTAGATGGATGACGAGGAGAGCGAAAAACCGGCCCAAAGTGAAAGCAATATGCGTGTTGCCTATAAAATCTTCAGCGTTACGGAATTCCATCATCATCACATCAAGCAGAGTAGGGTAATAAACAAATCATGGTTTTACTGCCACCTAATCAGCACCCGAAAAAGTCCATAATGATAAAAATGAATTCTGAACTTTTAAGCGCGAGGAGAGAGAGCACTTAAACCTGAACTCGAGCCGTCTCTAAGCGAGAGTGAATCTGCGGTGGGAGGAAAGTAATGCTGGGTGGAATCTGCACCGCAGTCTCCGACCGGTCTTTGTGCATTATTAAAAGCGTGAAATATCTTTAAGGAGCGGGAATAAGTGGGAGAAAGTAATTTAAGTCTGTTTTATGCCTCCGAGCTTCAAGCAGAGAGAGAGATCATTGCAGGTGGTGGTGTGAACTGTGTCCTTTTCTCTTCAGCGATATACACGCTACTCGAAGGTCTGGGCCAGACGTTCGAAAAGCCTGGATATATGCCACCCCGCTTTTATTACATTCCGCCTATTCCACCATCCACCACGACCGTGCTCTGCCTGGCGTTTTAATCTATCACCGAACCGACTCTCTCTCTGGAGAAGATGGCTCGATTTTATTTCCTCCGGCACTTCTCCATCGACACAGCCAGCCACCGACGACCCTAGATCTTTCCTTGTTTGTATCAAATCACAGAGTGGAACAGAAGGCTACACACATACATCCAGGAGGAGACTGCAGACAGAGGTTTGGGATGCGAGGGTTGGGATAGTTTTATTACATTTGGGATGCAGGTTTCAGTTTCACTGCAGCTATTCCCTCTGGAAATGAGGAAAAAGAGGCGGGGGCGACAAACTCAGGGATAAGTTTCAAGATTTTTCCCTCTCTCTCTCTCTTCCTCTACCTTATCGGAGTACAGGTTTCGAGTTTAGCCAAAGTTTAGCCCCACATCTTGGGAAGGACGACGACGGCCAGGAAGAAACAGGAAGCTTTAAGGAAACGGGAGGTAGCTAGATAAACTACATAGTCTGCCCGACGAGAGGAGCTCCCCCTCGTCCTGGGGAAGAGGTTTGTTAATCAGTGAAAGCTGAGGGCATTCGAGTAAGGAAAAATTGGTTCAAGTGGTCGTTCTCGCTGGCTTGATGAGTCCCAACCTTCCAATTAGCTTCCGGCTAGGTTAGGTTAGACCTGTCGTCGAATGTGGTAGGCAATAACTTGGTTTTGGGTCTGTTTTACTAAATCCTCCCAGAGTCTGCTCATTTCATTTTTTACACTTGTTCGCCCTCGCTTTCTCTCCCATGCCAATAATGAGGATGTGCAGGTGCGTAATCCCGGCATCTGTAGCTTGGTTTTCAGAAATACGGTCGGTTGTTTTTCTGGCCAACCAGAGCGAAAGATGGGAAGGAAGATGGTTGGTGGGTTGCTCTGTTATTTTGATCTCAATCCCTCTCTCTCTCCTGCTGCTTCTGACTACAACAGCCTCCAGGAACAACAGAGACTCACTTTCCCTGATGCTCTCTCCCACCATCCACCCAACCAGCCAGCCAGCCAAGCAACCCGACAATTCAATCCGGGATGCCCTCATCTTACTTTCCCTTCTTTGTGTCGTCCTGTTCCGAGCAAAGTCAACCTGGTTGTTGGTCCCCGTCGTCCTGCTTTTGCTGCTGGCTGGCAACTTGCCTTCAGCCAGTTTCCATCTTCATTACCCAGAGTGCCAGGTTGGGCCATGACTGGATGGTTGCTTGGCTAGGTGGACAGACAGACGACCTCATTTTATTAGCAATAAGGTTTCCACATTTTCACCATTAGGAGAGCTAAATGTTTCACTGAATCACTGAATCATGAACTGGGACGTGCTTTCTCTCTTATTCTCCCGTTCGACGCAAATGACACCCTGGAGTTTTACCAAAAATCCTGGCTCCATGTTCAGCACAAAATGTTCCTATTGCGGGCCAAACAACCTTCCAGACCGAAAAGTTGGTGGGCAGCAGAAATAATGACGTCTCCTTAAATCAGTAGTCGCCTCTCACTTCAAAAGCCCACGAGATGATGGTTCCTTGTAATATTCACCATTTCACTAATTCCTAATTCTCCAAGGACAAATTCTGATTTTGAACGATTTCATGGTTATTATTATTATTATTATGAGAATAGAAAAACTATTCCTCCTGAGACCAATTGATAGTCCAACTCCTTTCAAAGGAAGCATGTATTCGCACAAGTTGGTGGAGAAAGCATAAGCATTTGCCCTCCGCAAGTTCCTACTGCACCTTTCAAGGCGGGAGATACCTACAATAGGAGAGTTCATCAGGATAATTATGGCTTATGAAACATTCCGCCGAGCTTGCCAAGAAGGAGATTGGAACGGAAATTAATCGACAACAAAACTGTGAATTTCCGACCATTTCTTTGAGCTAATGGCAACGACATTGTTTCCCTCCAGAACTAAAATATGAAGAAGGGGAACCTCTGTTTTCTCGGGCGAGATGTATATTGTAGATACGTATGTACGTAGCACACGAACAAATTCTCCCTTGTATAACAGCACTATATACCTGTGAATGCACGTACATATCAGGCCTGACGAACGGATAGACAATTAACCAAACTCTTGTTGAGTCTGAAACACTCATTACTTATATTTAAGGTTGCAGTCAAAATGGGACAATTCAATTGGGCAAATTAGTCCGTTACTGGGGACGATGAGGAGGTCTCACCTGTGCTTTCCAAGAGGAAATCCAGCACTGTCTGGCCAATAATTAGATTTTCGCCTACACAGTCGCATAGAACATCCAATTTCACCCACCTTCACCATGCTACCCGATAATCCTACCGCATAATTTCAACATGTTTTCCCTCCACCTTTCCTTTCCTCTCTCCCACTTGCTCTCTTTATCTCGGACACCAATATCCTCTGCTATCCGTTATGTAACAGGTTTACCGACTGGCTGACTAACTTATAAGCTCTCATATTCCGCAGGAGCGGGTATCAAGCTCCTAATTTGTAACACGAAATCTAATCGTATTAACAGGATCAGTCCATCAAGAAAGAAAGTGAGAAAGACAAAGGGTATTAGCAAGCAGAGGCATCGCGGTATGATGCCCCATACTTTCACTTCACTCGAAACACGGTGGGCATCAATATTCTCAGAACGTTATGCAGAGGGAGAAAGTTCCTGCTACTTTTGCTCTGCTGCTGCTGCCACTCGAAGCCATTTATTACGAGTCTGGGACGACGTATATCAACGTCATTATTGGAGAGTGGTTTGACTTGGTCTAAAGGTAGAGCAACTACTCCTCGTTTTCAGACTCCATCACTGCCAGAGTCATTACGGGATTACAAACCACCAACCAGCCATATGTACATGTATGCATTGATAGACTTGATATACGTATACACGAATTTATGTCACTTTCCCACTCGGTCCAGCCCAAATGAAATGAGGGCTGTCAGGACCTAAATTCCGATATGATTATACCCCTTCCGTCCAGCCATCATGACAGGCAACATAAGAGATATGATCGAAATCCATTTCGTTATATCCAACATAATCCATAATATGCGTGAAAATTTCGCATTTCTAAATTGTAATTGATAAAGTGACAGCTTTAAAGACCTTAAGCAGAAGTTCAATTGAGTTATTTGACAATGAACTTGATCTGTCACAGAACTTGTAATTAACCAAGATTCTATCCAACCTCGACAATCATGAGTGATTCACTTCAAAAGACATCATCAATT